CATCGGGCTCCCTGCTCCGCGGGAAGCCTGCTTCTCCCTCTCCCACTCCCCCTGCTTGTGTTCCCTCTCTCACTGTGTCTCTCTCTGTGAAATAAATAAATTTTTAAAAATCTTAAAAAAAAAAACCTATACAAAAAACAAAACAAAACAATTTCATACTGAGTTTACAAAGCTGTAAGACTTCAAAGCCAATTTGCTTTACATTACTCTGATTCGTGAACTGAAGGATGCAAGAGATCTAGTGGAAAACACTGAAATTGCCTAGAAGTTGCCTCAGTGGCACAGAAAGTTTCTGCCAGCAGCCACAGGGCATTTCTCTAGAGAAAGCCCCATAGGAGAGGATATTTACTGCTGTCTGATGAATTTTTGTTTTTGTTTTATGAATATTTTTGATGGAAGACACTACATTTTTCAGGTCATCCACTATCAGCTTATTTTTTGAGTGTACTGAATAATTAAAGGACCCATGAGAGAAGAAAAAACAAAACAATATAAAATGGATGTCTTCACCAACATCTAATGCCACTGCTTCTGCCAGCCTGCTCAACTGGCAGAGTAAGTTTTCTAGACAACTTGTTAGGGTGTTTGTAAGACAGTTATTACTGCCACACTCTTGAAGTCATTCTCTCAGACAATGAAGATGAAAAGGAAATAGAAGCTATAATAATATGAGAATTATGTTACAGTATAAGACTTGGAGTCCTCAACAATGTATATACTCAAAACTCTTCTCACGAATAGGCCTCAGTACTAAGACATAACCTTGGGTTTTTGACTAATCAAATTCTTGCTACTAGAGTTCACTGGACATTGGAGGGAACAAATTTCCTAAGAAAAAGAGAAATTACTGGGGATGTGAATGTCCCTACGTATTCAGCCAAAGGACAGTAAAATAAAATATAAAAGAAACAATTTACCAGAGTACCACAGAAAAAGCAGGGGCCAGAGCCCTCCTGTTCACAGACAATGCGCCCACAGATCAGACAGTTATTGATCAGCTTGTGTTTCTGGCCCAGGCAATCACAAGGATGGCGACCAGGGATCAGGACGGCAAGCCTGTCCTGTCCCTCTTTTGTGTATAAACTGACAAACTTTGTCTTCTTCTTTAAGGAGTTGCTGTTCTCTTGTGCCTAATTATACAAAGATATCAGAAATAACATCAAATAATTAATAATAATGCAAACAATCAAGAAGAGAAAAACCTCAGTTCTGTTCAATGACGACTTATACACTACCTAGGAACCATGACAGAAGGAAAGGAGTGGGAGAAATACAAATTAAGGATTATCATCAAAGGTCTGAAGAAAGGTTATATTCTAGAAAAACTAGCTGATATGCCTTGCCTTTTCTGCTAGTAGCTTTCAGTCCTCTATTATAGCTGGTGGAAGGTAAATGTAGCAGTAAAAGCTATTTATGTGGCATATTTAAGCAAAGCTAAAGTGCAGATCATAAGAAACAAAAATGTCCCTAAAAGCAGATGGTACTCACAGATTTGGAAATATGATCAATAAAATAAGAAAAATCAAGAAAGGGGTGCTTGGGTGGCTCACGTGGTTAAGCTTCCGACTTTTGATATTGGCTTAGGTCATGATCTCAGAGTCGTGAGATCAAGCCCCGAGTTGGGCTCAAAGCTCAGCAGGGAGTCTGCTTAGGAGTCTCTCTCTCCCCTTTCCCTCTGCCCCTCCCCCTACTCGTGCCCTTACTCTCTCTCTCTAAAATAAATAAATAAATCTTGGGGCGCCCGGGTGGCTCAGTCGTTAAGCATCTGCCTTCAGCTCAGGTCATGATCCCAGGGTCCTGGGATCGAGCCCTGCATCAGGCTCCCTGCTCCATGGGAAGCCTGCTTCTCCCTCTCCCACTACCCCCTGCTCGTGTTCCCTCTCTCACTGTCTCTATCTCTGTCAAATAAATAAATAAAATCTTAAAATCTTT